AGACATGACATTTGTTGTTATGCACCCTGCGGTCTGACTACTGCCTATGTCATTCTCATCTTCGTTATCTGGTTCATCAATCATTACTTTCTCAAACTCTTTTTCGTCGTCATCATCGGAGACATCTATACGATCAGTAGCACACATTTCATCATATTCCCGGATAGGCATTTGTTAAATTATTGGTTGATGGACATCATCTTGATCACCCAACTCAATTCCTATCTCACCCATTTCAAAATTCTGACCGAGTGAATTGTTGGCTGAATTCCCACCGTATGCCGCGGTTCTAGTGCTTTGTTGGATGTAAAAGTACTGCACAGACTCATCCATTACCTGCATCTCCACAAGAGTTGAACATTCACCCGTCACACCAGAAGTTGGAAATGTCAATGGACTCATCTCTTGCCTAAACAACTCAGTGTAAGACATGACATTTGTTGTTATGCACCCTCCGGTCTGACTACTGCCTTTGTCATTCTCATCTTTGTCATCCGGCTCATCAATCATTACTTTCTCAAACTCTTTTTCGTCGTCATCATCGGAGACATCTGTACGATCAGTAGCACACATTTCATCATATTCCCGGATAGGCATTTGTTAAATTATTGGTTGATGGACATCATCTTGATCACCCAACTCAATTCCTGTCTCACCCATTTCAAAATTCTGACCGAGTGAATTGTTGGCTGAATTCCCACCGTATGTCGCGGTTCTAGTGCTTTGTTGGGTGTAAAAGTACTGCACAAACTCATCCATTACCTACATCTCCACGGGAGTTGAACATTCACCCGTCACACCAAAGTTAAAAATGTCAATGGACTCATCTCTTGCCTAAGCAACTCAGTGTAAGACATGACATTTGTTGTTATGTACCCTCCGGTCTGACTACTGCCTATGTCAGCATTTATGTACTCTGTCTCCACGTACAAAACAACACTAGCAACGCTGGGATTGTCAAGTACCACATTAACCACGAAAGTCACTAATTCATCGTTGACAATTTCTAAACCGATATGTATTCATGTTTGGTCCTGTTCTAAGTGTGAAAGGATATCTACAAGTCAACTTCAACTCGTTATGCGCCCTGTCCAACCCTATTACAGTGTAAATTTTACTCAACAACTCCGACAGTTGTGTACCACTATTGATAACAATACCACCTTTGGAAGGACAACTGTATGATAAACCCTCTGAGTCATACTTCATTCGTCCACCCCAATATAACAAAACGGTAACTTGTTTTCCCGCCATTTCAATTAGTTTCAATTGTGGAATATAAGTTCTGAATTCAAAAGAACCTGAGAACAGATAGAAACGATTAATACTTGAAGAATAGATATAAACCATGTGAATCTACCGCATGCGACTTAGAAAAATTTATCAATTAAAAAACATACAAGGATGTAGTGTACTGAATCAGAAGTGAAACATGTTATTAAGCAGCCAAACAATGTAGGCAATTTTTTTGGCTAACAAGGCAGTAATTGAATTACATTTACAACTCTGATAATTATCAACACTATCCAACTCAAGGATGACAATACTGGAGTTACTTTGATTGATTCAAAATCAACATACTTATTTTGAAGTAAATGTGGTGTTTGATGCCTAAGAGAAATATATATTGAACTTCGATTAAGATTGATAGAGACAGACATGAAATATAGATAATATGAATTTTTTTATTCTTTTAAATTAGAATTTTATCTTTGTACAAAAGTTGAATTACAAAGGACTTACTTAGATAATATTCACTGTAATCAAAAAAGATAAAATTTGATACATCCTTATGTAACAAATTACACAAGAAATTTTTTCAAGAAAGATGTGAATTTTAAAAGATTGGTCGACGAAATTTGAACCGGAGAGTAAATGTTGATATATCCCATAACAATATTTTTTTGTTCTGGGATATATCACAAGCCTAGAGATTAGACGGGCAAGTCTACCTACATAGTGGAAGCAGGGTATATGCCATCTTTTCACATAGGAATGAGTAGATGCAACTCATAATCTGGCTATGCATTTGTTGCAATGACACAGTTCAGAATTATTTCATTATTTGCATGGTCAATTTTATTTCGCTTCAAATAAAATTTTTTGCCACATTATTCGTAGCTTTGATATATTTGCTAAGCAAATGACGGTGGAAATTACTGCTGGATTCATCAGTATCTGGATAGGAGATAGATTTGATGAGTTGAAGCGAAATTGAAGTACATTAGAACTGTTTCGTAAAGTTTTGAGGCGTTCAAAACTATCCTTCATATACATGTCGCTCGGTTTTAGGCTCCTATCTATCTATTTGTAGTCAATATATAACACAAAAAACAACGCCAATATAGTTCATAACCCAGGTATATCAGTAGATAAGCCAGGTAAATATCAACTGTCCAGTAAAACAACTGCAAGTCACATATCTTAAGCCGAAAAAAAAAAGAAAACAACAGTAAATATCAAGAGATAGCACTAATTAATCAATCCGAAAAACATACATCCCCATAATGTTGTACCAATCATGAACAAAAAACCCACTGTGAAAACATGGACATTAGATTCACAACAAACAACAGTGGCAGTGGCGAGGGTAACATTACAATTTGCAATGAAAGAATGCACTTTTGGAAAAAATAAGATAGTTCGGAAAATATAACAGAGTTGGAGACAATCAAACATTGAAGTGGAATTTAGACTGCAGAAAAGTCTAAAACTTCATGTTCTACAAAATATTTCAAAATTCACAAAAACATCACTGTGACAGGGGTCTCCTTTTCCTAACAGTAGCAATTTGTGATTCTTTATGCTATGGATCAAAAAATCAAATAATTGGTGTGAACTTTGAAAACCCAAACAGAGCCATTAAAATGGGTGATGATGGGGCTGCCGGTGGTTGTTGGCAGCGGAGATGGAGAGAGACCATTAGTGTATAGATTTGATGAAGTGGTGTGGGGGTGGTGGCAGTCGGTGATGGTGCTGGATTTTGGTGGATGGCGGTGGTGTGTGAGAAGAATCAGAGAGATGGAGGGAAAGTCACCTTACCTAGGGTGGCGATGTCGCTGGATCTAGATTTCGATCTGCTGGTGGTGGTGGTGGTCCTCGCTGGTGTAGATGGGTTGTTCCTCTTCTTTCGGTGGTGGGTTATTCTGGAGGTGCACCTGAAGGAGGTTAGGGGTGGTGGCGTTGTCGGTGGTGGTGGTGGTGGCGGCGGCTGGGTCGCCTATGGCACAGAGAATTTAGGAGAAAAAGGCAGTGATGGAGAGTGATGGAGAAAGAAAGAAGAGGGAAAGATGGGTATTGATTTGAACAAAAGAGGTCAATGCATTTAACGTTTTTTTATAGAAAACGTCAATTCAACAGACGTTTTTAAGTTGCTGGAACACAGTGCAGTGTTGAGAAAAAACGTGAGTTGGTCTGATGACATTTTTTGCGCAAAAAATGTCAGATCAATTAACTGTTTAAAATGCCCGGGTTTGAAAAATATTTTAAAATCAAGCCTTAATTGAAACTTTTTTTTAAAAATTTCATGGATGGATCAAAAGCTCAAAAAAAAAACCGTTTAAAAATTCTCTTGAACAAAAGATTTCACTTATTAAAATTTCAATGAATTGATTAAAACAATAATTAGAATATTAAAGTATCGGAATACCTTTTTAAATTCATACGACAATTATTATTATAAATCTAATTTTTAAACTCAATTGAAAATAAATTGAGAAGTAATCCAATTGAAAATTTTAGCAATAAAAATATGAAAACACCAATATTTATAACCAAGATTCTATCTGAATAAACCTAAGAATTCTTTCGTAGAGTACAATGAATCAAACTCTCTAGCAAATTAATTTCAGTCTTATTCACATAATCCTCAAGTTATCTTTTGAAAGTTATATTAATCAAAAGTGTGGAATATCCAATTATTTGATTTGCAAGAAAATTTAAGTAATTCGATGTATATGGCATAACGAATTAAGAATTTTTATAAAACAAAAACTTTACTAAAAGATGAAAATTGAATTAATAGAATTAAATAAACAGTTAAATCTTTAGATTAATAATAATACCGTATTTCATTGAAAGCTTCTCCCTAGATTTAGTTGGACTTTTTAGGCAGATATAGTTGTAAATACCATAAAGAATAAAAATAAACATCAACACATAAACCTAGTAATCTTTTCTTATTTATATCTAGTGAAAACAAAAACCAATTAGGCTACGACGCAAAACATATAATTTTGGGTAGCTAATAACACGCGTCGGGACGCGTTCAAGAGTATGCTTTCCCAATCCTCAATATCTCCATCCTCCCACATTCCTATTCTGGACGCAATTGTAGCTTCCGTCTCGACGCGACGAACTACAACCTCTTCCTTCCCTGACAACTGACCCGCACCCTTTAATGTATGATTAATCCTCCAATTCACTCTATTTACTTGCAAAATGAAAACATTCCATAGGTAGAATCAAACTAAAACCCAAATAAATTGATATATTTAACACTCTATCCAACATAATTAATCTCTGACAACCACCAAACTAATACATTATCAGAGTCTAATTAGTTAACACCTTCTTGATAGGTCTGAGATGATATGGATTCGTCGATTGACAAATTAGATCTTGGCTCGCTATTTTGTAAATGCCACTATATTACCATTAAGACTTTAGATCATTCTGCAAGTCAAATCTTTTAAGCTTCTGTGACTATAGTGCTAACCCCTAAGCATGACCACTTAAATCTGATGTCAAAAACAACAACACAATCCAGCAAGTTTATTAAATAGACCCACTTATCTACAAGGCAAATTTAAGATGTCCAAAAAATTGTAACTCTTTTAGAAGCTTAGAAAGTAATGTAAATATGCATGCAAGAATTCATCTAATCCCAAATCATAACAACTGCTATAACGCCCACGCCAATGACCACAGCAAGCAACTTATAAAATGGGGTATCAAAATAACAGTAAGCTTGTGGTTGAAACCCTTTAGCTATGAGATGGTTAACAGCAACATAGACGAAAAACACCATAGGCATGTCCCATTGAGATGGCATTAATCCAATCAGCTGTACGGCCTTGAGTCGTGGAGTCAATGGCGATGCCTATTCCCACTCCCACAGGGCTTGAAATGGCAAATGCGAAAGAGTAAGAAGCTGTTGATAGAAACGGCCTCTTTGGCATCATTCTCAGCAGTGCAATCCCCATGGCTATGGCTGCGAAGGATCTTGTGCAAGGATATTGATTGTCCACAGGTTTCTCCATGCATTCGCCTTGGTGTATCCGAGAACAGTATTATATAAACAATTCAAGCTCAGCATATTACTTTTGAGTTTGAGCAACGTCCAAAGGTGATACAATAATTAAAGGGTGATTATACACATGCACATCAAAATTGCGTCGTAACCACGAGTCCGAAAGACACGAGATTGGACAATTCAATCAAATTAACAAAACAATAATGTTTTGTTATTTATCTTTCTTTCATTAACGAAGAAAGAAGAAAATTCACATAATGGTTAGGTTCCAAACTACACTCCACCAGATTCTTGATCATACTTTTAGAGGCTTTTATATGTTACTGAAAATGCTAAAACGTCAATCAAGGAGAGTTGGTACGACCAATACTACTTCCATTCTGTTCAAGTTGAACTCCGTGATTAGCCAAAACAATCTTCAAGTTAGATAATATGTAAGAATGGGTTCAGTGATCGAACGAGAAGGGAGACCTAAAAGTATGTATTATTTGATGTTAAGTTTGAGTCTTATAAATGCATTCATTGCACATGGAAAACAGTCAAAACTAAGTAGCTAGCAAACTGATCTACCTTGAAAAACACAAGAATTGATCTATACTCGCTTACCTGCTACTCCAACAGCCGAATGCACATGGAAAACAGTCAAAGTTAAGTAGCTAGCAAACTGATCTACCTTGAAAAACACAAGAATTGATCTATACTCGCTTACCTGCTACTCCAACAGCCGAATGCACATGGAAAACAGTCAAAGTTAAGTAGCTAGCAAACTGATCTACCTTGAAAAACACAAGAATTGATCTATACTCGCTTACCTGCTACTCCAACAGCAATACTCTCAAAAACCGAATGGAAACACAAGGCAAGAATGAGAAGTATGGTGTCCCCCACTGACGTTGTCGACAGACTCGACACAAATACTGGGTTGAGATCCATCCCCATCTCCTCTCCACGACCCTCAACCGCCACGTCTCCTCCTCATGCCTCCGCTTTAGCCTCTCTCTGACTGCCCTTCACCACATAGGCCACCACACAGTCACCCAACATAGTGAAGCCAACATAGTGAGAAGATAACCTGCTGAAGCCAACATGAATGAAAGCAGTAAAGTTAGATTTTTGGAATTAAATTTAAAGTCCAAATGACATGAATGATCTTTTACGAAAACTTTAATTCTTAATGTATTCAAATTGAATTAGTTATGTTAGTTATAAAGGAAGTTGGAATGTGATATAAGAGGTGGATATGACTTCCACATCTTCTTCTTTGCAGTACAGGTTTGAGTTTACAAGAATATGTACTACACACCAGTTGTACAGAAGCGGTCATCGGACCTCCCTCCACCACAAGAATAATGGAAAAATTCGGTATTTAATTATCGACGTTTAAACGTCACTAAAATTGACGTTTGTTTACGCACCTAAAAAATTATTAATAAAAATAATAATTTTTTTTTTTTGGCTTAATTTCCTACGTTTAAGTCAAATGCCACAAAATCTTAATTAAAAATAATAATAAAAAGAAATTGTTTACTTCCCCAGCATAAACCCAAATTTTTTCTCAATTCATTCTCTCGACTACTCTGGCGACGACCTCACTAACTCTCTCAGGCGACGACTCCTCGTTGTCCCTCTCTCAAGTGACGACTCCTCGCCCCTCTCACAGACGACTCCTCTTCAGCTCTCTCTCAGGCGCCTCTCTGATCGTTTTCTCTCTCTCTCTCTCTCTCTCTCTCTCTCTCTCTCTCTCAGCACGCATTGTTCAATAATCTGTAAGTACCTTTACTCATTCTTAGCTCCATTATTGTGTTTTATCTACCTAACCTAATTACCATTTCGCTTCTTGTTGAATTTGTGAAGGTTTAGTTTAATTTGGTATAGATTATTCTTTTACAGTGTACTAATATATTATGCTTTGGTCCGTAAATAGATCTACCAAAACTATCATGACCTCAAGGACTAAGAATAGATCTACCTGTTTTCAGAGTATACTTCTACAAAATCCACAAGACTGACAAAGCGCTTGAGGTTTTACATCCAGTGGGCCTTTCAATTGTTAGAGGGTTCCATAATTTTCTCTCTCAAGGTGAGCTGCTTCAATTTGATTGATAAAGACTATAATATTGTGATTAAATTATCCATAAAACCACGAGGGATTACCTTTATTCATATTCATACTAATGTGGCGTGAACTTGTGAACAAGTGAAATTTCTGTGGAAATTATGTCAATTCATTATAGGCTATGATTGTAAAAAAAAAGATCTACCTGGTCAATCACACGTGAATTACCTGGTCCATCCCTCTTCTATGCCATGGATCTGTCCACCACTTAGATTTGAAGAAGCAGAAGACAGTGAATAATCTCCACCGAGATTTGAAGACGCAACTGCCATGGATCTGTTCCTCCAGGTAATTTTTTAGGATCAAATTACAGTATTCATGGTTTGTCCATGTGCTGTTGAACTGATCTTTAGTGGATTGAATTGAATTGATTTGTGATTCTGTGGTGCTGTTATTTTTGTAACTATTTGCTCTTATTTGTTCTACTTGATGCCTTTCATTTCAAATTGTTCTCCCTAATTCTGAAACAGTTCATGCGTTTTTTTGACAGAAAATTTAATTTTCTGGTTATTAGGCTTAGAAAACATTTGGTTTTCATTATTCATTCTTTTTCTTCTCTCTGTTTTGCTTTTATCTGTGTAGAGTCCTGTCTTTATAACTTGTATGATGAATATTCACAAGTATGTAAGCATTGACCTACAGAACGCGTTGATACCTAGCATATGGAAACACGAATCCTCTCATATGAGTTAAGAGCTTTTAATTGTATATAAACCATAGAAAACGATGAAGCGACAATCCTAATCTGGGAAACTTTGAGGAAAAACTCAATCACGATATAATACAGCTGATCATTATATTACGGTTTTTCAGATGATTACTGATTATTTATTTCTAATTGCAAGAATTCTTTTGGTGCATAATTTTCAAGAATTAGATTATGTGATGGTTTACTTATTTTCCCCTTTAAGTATCTGGAAGGTATTACCTGACGAACTTTTAAGGGGTGGTCATTATATGTGGAGGTATACTGCCTATAGGTATACTCTCTGAAACATCACACGAATGGATTTCCTAAGAATGTTAGATGGTTGGAATGATGGTCTTTAAATTGAAATGCAGAAAATGGTCTTTAAATTGAATAATTTTGTTAAAAGATGGTCTTTTTATTTGATGCAGTAGGAGCATGTTTGTATCTAATGCTCATGCTCATGCTCTTAATTAATTATGCTGCTTGTCATTAATTTAGGTTATCCCGAACAAGTAATGCAGATGGAGAAGCCGGAGAAGTCTACTCTGATGATTAAATGCTTATCTTGTTGCATTTTTGTCGCTAAATTGGTTGGAAATTTTTTTTATACAACTTAATGGAAACGTGGATGTAAAATTTTCATGACTTGCGGCTGATTATGCAGTTATGGCTTGTCTTGCTACAGCTTTGAGATTGAATGTGATTCCTTGGTCCTTGTTAATTCTGCTTTGGGGACTTACAGTTGTCCTTCGCCTTGTTTGAATTTTATGATGAGGATTAGGGATTTTTTAAGTAAGCTGGATTTTCATTTGGCTCAAATTTATAGAGAAACTAATTCAGTTGCAGACAGTTTGGCTGGTCAAGCTGCTTCGTTGAGAAGGTCGGTGGATTTTTCTGCTAGTCTGAGATTGCCCTGTGAGGTTGGTCTGGCTTTGTTTCATGCCTTGAAGGGGATGCCTATTTTGCATAAGAAGAGGCTGCTGGTTTTTGATGATAAGGGTCAAGTGAGAAAGGGTGGGGTGTGGTGTGGTGTGGTGAGGTGTTGACTGGTTTTCGTATAAAGGATTTGGATGTTCCTACCTAAGTATTAGTGTTGATTTGTCTGAAATTCAAGGAAGGGGATGGCTTTGCTGAGCAAGTGGGGGGAGTGTCTGTGATGGGAGGTGCTGTTTGGTTCTGCTGCTCTATGTTTTTCGGGAAGCTTTTTGGATCGTTGGGTTGTTTTGTTTGTTTGTTTCTGTTATGAAAAGGTGTTTGGCCTTTTCTTTTTCTTTGCTTCTTGTAATTTATGTTTTGAAAATAAATAAAATTTTATTTTTGTTAAAAAAAAAAAAGGTAGCTTGATTATTCATTTTTCATCTGGTGGAGAATCTCTGAATATTTAAAATTCTCATTCTAGTGAAAATGCAATGAGCTAGGTTTTATTATGAAAAAAAAATATTAATTATCATTACTGGCATTTAAAAAATGCCAGAAAACTAGTTGTAATAACAATTATTGGCGTTTAAATAAACGCCGTAACATAGTTTCGGTCATCAAAATTTTACAAGAAAGTTGTCGATTAAATAAATGTTGCTTCAACGTTTAGTAAATGTCACTTTAATTTTTTTTTTAGCGTTTAATTATACCTTGACAATTTTTTCGACGGAGATTTTGACGGCATTAATAACTAACGTAAATAATAATATTTTACGGCATTTATTTCATTTTATTGTCGTTTAATAAACACTAATAAATATCTTTTTTCTTGCAGTGCGCGCGAGCCGGACCAAGCCATTCAAAAAAATATTCTGATTTTAACATATTTCTTCAAAGAAAGGATGGAATGAAATCAACTATAAACTAATATCGGTGGGAAAATACTTCGCAATCATATTATAAGAAGGAATTTCTATAAAAAATCATATGACAATATTTTTTAGTAAATTATATTTCAACCCCCCAACTATAATCCTTTTCAAATTGCCTCTTAACTATTATATTTTTTTACATTGCACTCTCAATTATGTGATCAATTATTAACATCGGTTCCAAATTTGACGATAAGTTGTATCATTTTGCCTCCCAAATTATGTGATTTTTTTGCACTTTGCTTCTACACGTTGATTATTTATATCCAAAAAGATAACATACGTATGCATTTAGTATAATATGAAATAATTCAAGTAGTTGAAGAACAATGTGTAACGAGACCATATAAATTGGGGACATTATGCCCCAAGCTTCATACTATAGGGCTCTGGAGTTGTATACATGCCATGGATTGTACAAAAACAAAACAATGTACTCAGAGTCTGTTTGGTATGTTTTTTGAGAAGGATTTGAATTAGATTGTCCAAACTCAGGTTTGATCAAAGATGGAATTTAAAGATGGGTTTGAGGGAGTTAATGCTATCCATACCTATGTTTAGTATTATGATAAGATATTTGTCTTTATTTGATAATTTTGCCCCTTAACCAATTGAATCCAAATCCATGTTTGGTTACGTACATTTACTTGTGTTCTTATGTGTTAAATATATGATAAAAAATTTTTTTCTAACTTATGAAAAAAATCATGAATATTGATAAAAAAAAAAAAATTAGTATTATTCATAACCATAATAAAGGGTAAAAAAACATTAACCCAACAAAAAAGTGCAACTTTCTAACGTTAACTTATATGGGGATACATACAAAATTTGTCCATCACAAATACATGAAAATCAAGAAAAGCTCGGTGGATCCATCTGTCCAATGCAACTTTAATGAACAAATGAAAGAAAGATTAATTGATAGAATCCTACCTATTGTATGTCTATATTAAAAAAAAAAAGAACCGTAGGTAGTGAGGAATACAACAAAGGTATCAGCCAGAATTCTAGTATTAGCAAAATAAAGTATCAAGGAACTTACAACAGAGATTTTTGAACCAAAATATTCGATTCCATTTACCTTCTCTTGATCGAACAACCATAAACAGTTTTTCTCGACTTTTAGATATGTTTGCGATCAAACAACATGAGGGGTTTATATAGGGCAATCGAAGCTTTGCTAAACTATGATTGACTTGATAGGGCGAAGGAAATCTTTGCAACAGATTTCCCCAAATATTTTTTGCAGATCGAAGAAGAGGACCGACAAATTTCTTCAATCGTTTCCAGCAAAGAGGATAACAACCTTCTCTTTCTGCCCATTTGGTCTTTCTCAGAGATTTCTCAAATATTTTTCGCAAGTAGTGTATTTGTCAGAAGATCTTCTCTGTGTTCATCGATCTCAACTGATGAGACATTTTCAAACACACCAAGATGACGACACGTGTACTCGGCACCAATAGAGACTCTCTGCTGTGATCCCGACACGTCCTCGTCGATC